ATTTTCTTCATTAGGGTGGATAATGACTAATGAGTTATCATCAAGTTCTACATTTTCTGTATCTCCGACATCATAAAGTATTATCTCTCTTTTTCTCAACATCACAGCAATCGTTCTAATATATTGCATTATATGCACGCAAATATTCACTCGTCAATGATTTTCTTACGGTTGTATGAGCAGTAAAATACACCACCCGTTGTGCAGCGTTGCAGCAGCATGTTGAAGTAATAAGAACAGGGGAGAAAGAACGATGTAAGTGAAATTTATACGTGTAGACGGCAACGCGTGTGCGGCTCCAAGAAGTGAACGTGGGTCGTCCGAAGACTCTACCACCCAATCGCAACGTGAGAGGCGCGTGCCGTCGATTTACCCACGCGAGCGCCATTCTTTCCTCATCAAAAACCAATCTGTATGAACAAGAATCACGATATCATGATAGCATCAAATTCCAAGCTCCCCTACTTCATGACATTTGTCAATGAAAACAAATGTTCTTTATCCACCGTGAATGTGAGAATGAATTCAATGGAAATTTGCGATGTTCTGGCTTGTTAGTAACTGGCAAGAGTTGCCTCTGATGCGTGGGCTACATGTGCTTCACGTGGCACTGTTTAAGCACGCCTAGATGATACTCACTCTCAGCATGCTGTGACTCTAAAATAAGAGACTCCCAAGAAACACACGCTGTTTGAAGGCTTCAAGATATATCCACATGATTTACTACAAGATTCAAAGATTTACTACTCTGTCAATCTTGAGTCTGTCGAAAGGAGCTGCTACGTGAATGTAACATTTGTACCTTCAGCATCATACCACACCCTTCCTTGTCATCTATTGTCTTCCAAGGTAATCACTGAGGTTTTTTCATTTGCTTCACTGCAAGTGCGTGACGTTCATTGTTTGATTATATGTTCTTCAAAGCAGCAAAAGACACGTTTAAGAAAGTAGAAACTTTTTTTTTTCACTCATGATGGAGAGTTATGTTTAGGTATTGATGGTGATGGAAGATATGTCTTTGAAGTTAGCATTGAAATAAAATATATTTGTTCCTACATTGCGTGAGGATTATTGCTACATAGTGTTATTTTAGATATCAGTTGGTAATTTAATGGTCAACACTCTAATTTTCATGTCAACATTATTGAAAACAGACTGGTTGATTGGAGACAAAAATGATTATGCTAATGGGATATTATTAAAGTATATTACCAATATTGTTGCAAAGTTATTATTGTCGTTAAGTTTTTTTTTTCTCCAGGTGATTTGAACAAAGTAAACTTTATAACTAATAATAATAGCCAATATTATTTATCAAAATGATTGTTTTCTCGACATATAAGCTATATAAAGGTTCACTAACAAAGTCAAACACACTCATAAAATCTTTTTATTTGAAATAACTGAACATTACTGTCCATTCTCCAGTTCAATTCACTTGTTAGCACTAATGAAAATCCAAACATTTCAATTAAAATTGAAAAAAAAAATTATGACAATCAATTATCTCTGGTAGACATGAAGTAACCAGCAATTATAAAATTTTCCTTGTCATCACTGACTATTTTCTCATGGGATAAAATTGAAAAACAACGTTAATAAAAGGAAAATAAATAAACCAAGTACTTGACATGACATGAAATGGAGATTAAATATAGCAGAAAGTTAGCACGCATTCTATCATCACAATTTAACGTTCAAGTCAACGTCAATATTGTTTGAATAGTAGTGCATAGATTGTAGCTCATGAATATTCCCTGATTTGCTTTTTGAAGCACAGGACTTTTAGCCCACATACTTGATTACATATTCATAGTGCGTGCAAGCAGCTTTAGTATACAACGCTTAGCATGAGTTCTCGTGTTATCTTTTAAGGAACAACGAAGAACCTTTTATACAGTCTTTTGTGTCACATTTCTTATTCAGTTTATCGTTCAATGATTCTTTTAATTCTAGTAAAGTATTAACTTTTATGTTAATTCCACAATATATACCGTGGGATATTTAGTTTTTAGTTCTTTATACGATCACGTTCAGATAATGTCTTAATGATTATAGAGATATTTAAAATTCTGCAACAGATTTTTGCTTTTAAATTGTCTTGACCAGTCATTTTCGTTTATTAGCTTCATTTAAATAAAATCAATCACTTGGCTCTTCTTTAGTTTAATTACACCAGATTAGTTTTAAAGAGGCTATTTTGTTGATTAAAAAAACCATTCAGATTATCATGTAGATTTTATTATTAGTGAATTGATTTTTTATTTCATTATTTAATTGCTTGCTTTTAAATTGTAGTTTTAAATTGAGAACAGTAGTTTGGTAAGGATATTATGAAGAATTAATTTCCAAGATATTTTTTATTTGAATCTCTTTAAGAATTTATCGCTTTTGATGAAGAGCAAAAAAAAAGAGATTAACAAATTATTAAGTACATCTGTAACGATATAATAAGAAAATTATTATTTAAAAGTTAAAATGATCATTTTTTATGCATTTGATATTTTATAAATTTAGTCGTGAATTAAAAAAATATATTTCAGCAATAAAAATCTATCTGGTAGAAACTTGATTAGAGAAAAATCCCTGTGGCATAAATCCCATTAAGAATAATTCTACTTAAAAATTTCTACGAAAGAAAAGTTTTATTCCAAATTAGATTTGGCAAAAGATTAACCCATTAATTCCTAAGGGTAAAAATAAAATCGTTAATTGATTTTTTTGTTTACAACAATTATATATTGTTTATAACTACTTCAATTTGTTATAAACAATTAAAAATAATTTTAATTTATTGAATGATCATAACTATGATTATATTCGATAAATATCAATAAAATGTTGTTGAACAAAAAAAAATTAATCGGCCAATTATTTAACAGTTAAATTTAAAAAAAAAAAATTAATTAGCTTCATGAATGTTCACAGGAGTATAAAAATAATTCCATTGAATAAACTAAACAAAGTCAATAAAAACCATCATTGTTGCAATTCACAATATAAATTTTTCCCAACCCAACCATTATTAGAATATAATAGCTCACAGTAGAAGAATCTCTCCCATAATATATAGGTCATTATCTCATTATGATAATAAACAGTACTGCCAACGGAAGAATAATACCTCGAGGCTGAAATGCATTATGTGATAATGTCATTGAAGATAATCGGGAATGTTTTAACGGATTGACGGCGCCATGATCATTATCAGTCGAGTCGCAAATGAATCCGGAAGAACGCGACAACTTTCAAGTTGTACGATAATAATGCGATATCAAATGATCAGCTTAGTGTGCCGGTTGGACAGCTTTTAATAACATCGATTTAGAACGGTATTCCAGTACAACGGACGTGACCTCAGAGAACTGTGGTCATCGATGATCGGTATCGAGTATAACGACGTCACGCCGCGAAAGAGAGAGAGTCCATAAGATCCGTTTGTATTGGTTGATAAATATACTTAGAAAAGAAATCGACTTTGATACTCTCTGAGTCACCCCTATATCCATAAATGGCATGTACAATCGTTAAGAAATTATCGTTATCGATATATTAATATGCATCCGTCGTTAAAGAACTGAAATCAGTGGCATTGTTTTGTAGAAAGCTAAGTCAATTCTTATTTTATCTTGTGCACGCTTTCGCCAATATTATTAGCATATTAAATTTTATAAATGCATTAAAGAAACTAAGTCAACGGTTATTACAGTCATTTTTTAAATCATCTTCATTAATTGACGGAATAAAAATGATACATTCACCAAGTAGCTATCTTCAATAACGATTTCACAATACTATTCAACTGTTTATGGAGGTTCGAATATTTCTATGGTCAAATTGGGAACCAAGTTCATTGAGTAAAATTGAAAGTAAGATTAGAAATAGTGTGGTAATTTTGAAAATATTTTACAGCACAATTTTGTAATTATTAACAATTAAAGTAAATCCATTTGCTTTTATGGAGATCACGTGATTTTTTATCAAAACTATAATAATATTATTTTGATCAAATAAAAAGAATTGTTTATAACTTTTTTTTCATTTAATAAACATCGAGGTTAGGAGATCGAAACCGATGCAAACATTGATACTCCGATAAACCGTTGAACAACGCCCATACCTAATGGAGAACAATTTTCTAAATGATTCAAATACGACTTGGATATATTTTTACATGCCTACAGAAGTGTATAAGATGGATTTCTCAAGTTAAGTATAAAGAGAATAATTTAACAGTATAAAAATAAATAAAGACCTCAACTAATTTGTAAGCTAAGCTTTCACCGAGAATCAGTCTTGTATAAAATCATAAATTGCAAAGGACAAAAAAGGAAGTAACAAGAAGCAGAAGCGTTGCAACGTGCTACCCTGCAGTTGATCATCACCAGGGGGGGCTTTTCTAAGGCATCGAATGGTTGGAACAAGAATCAGGTCGGACATAAAACGGTAAATGGGCGAGTTCATTAACGCTGCATGGGTTTTCCATGGTCTTTTAACTGCAGGCGTCCGGTTTGCTACGTTTCTACATCACATTCTACAAAAGTATCAGGGCGATTCTATTTCTCGAATGATTGTAGGGATCGTTTATGATTACGCGAGAGGGAAGTACTCGAGAAAGTATAAATCGATGGAAAATAAAGGCACATCGTATGGAATCTATTGGGTGGGATTAAGTGGATTTCCATGATTCCGTGGGAGCGGTATCAAGAATATACACGATGCGGGATGATGTACATGTTGGATTAAAGGAGGAGGGGGAGGATGATGAGGTGGAGGTATCTCTGTAGAAACTCGCTGGTCCTGTTCCCGAAGTAGAACGCAACGGGTCGCAAGAAAGAGGAAGAGGAGGAGGACATTTTGATCGAAGAGATCTCTTACCTACTCACGCATAAACACGGAAGGTGTGTGATTATAATGAGCTTGAATAAAAAAAATGATTGATGAAATATGAGGTACAGTTTTTAATCTAATTATGCGTAGAATGGCCTTTTCTTTCTTACCTTCGTAGGAAATGTGACGAAAGTCCCCTGTGGCTATTGTTGATACTAAAGTCCATAGTAAGAGGATGACTTGGAGCCAGACTGTAGCAGCCATTCCGTCCACAGTCTTGCCTCTAAAATAGAACAAAATTATTTATATTTATTATTATAATTAAATCTATTTTTAATATTGTTAATTATATGCTATTTTTCATGTTTACGCAAGGGAATAAATTAACACCTTAGAAATACTTGACGTAATTTCCTTGACATTTAAGTGAATTAGCAAGTTTGCATGCTTGGATATATGGCTTAAGACTGCTGACGCTCATCGATGCAAAATTAGTTGTAACAGATAACACTTGCCAAGTGCGATTATGATTGATCACCAGTGTACTCATCGACTTATAATTGGGTAACCCAAAAATTTTTTTATTACACGTGGATTATATATATTATCATGATGTTGGCACAGTTAAATGATGGCAGCTATAAACAATATTTCCTACCAATAAAGGGCATAGTATCTTCTCTCCCGCATCTCAAATGATACCCAACATAACTGTTTGCTTACAAGTCACCGAAAACTCGAGAGAGTTTCGCCGCCTTTTTTGGCAAACTCTTGCGAAACGATCACTACAATATTGCTGAGTGTAATCATTTGATGCCAAACTACGACATCGTGTTGGCGTTTACGCACAACCAACGACTAATTTTTGACTCCTCTGTATTGTATTTCATTAAATCAAGCAACAAGCGTGTTTGTAAAGTGTTGAGAATTTTTTTTTTTTTTTTTTTAATGTTTATTCTGGAGTTTTAATTACTCATTTGGTGGTTATATCACTAAAATATTACCCTTTACATTTTTATTTGCGATCAAGAGAAAGAATTAAATGATCAAGAGGCTTCCTAATAAAATAATTTATTTATTCATCATTATTTTGTAATGATTATTAATTGATTTTATATTCAACTTTTATTTGAACTTTTTATTAAATTAATATAAAATAAAATCATGTATATAATTAACTTAAGTGGAAATATTATTTTTTTAATTGAAAAAGAAATTTTGATGTTTATTTTAATGATCTTAAATCATTTTAATTATTTTTTAAATAATTTCCTTTAATAATATCATCACTTGAGAAATGTTTTAATTTCCTACTTATTGCTAAATTTACCAGGCAAGAGATCTTGATAATAAAAATGGGTGAACTTTGTCATTTTTTAGTTTTTTTTTGTTTATAATAAATTGCAACCATATTGTATTGATATTGAGCTCAATTTTTAACAACAACTACCTAATGGGAAGCTAATAATATCATTTTTAAAAGTAATTTTCCCAGACTTGTGACACGTTATTAATCCTTAAAATAAGAGAATGATGAAAGGAAAATTTTTTAAAGAATCCTTGATGATGATCGCGACCATAAGAAGGATCGTGTTGCATCAAAGATCGATATCCCATCATCAGTATGCGGGAGAGCATGCTGGAAGCCCACTATAATAAGACATACTCCATAGCACGGAAGAAGATCGCGTCCTAGTACGTGTGAGTATTCGAGCGATATTACTGGGAAATCCGCGGGGAGAATGTCTCGTCGAACAGGCGATTCCTCTTCTTCTTGATGTTTTACCCTGAGCTTTGTGGTAAGACGGGGCCAGTTTCACCGACATGATCCAACACACGTTTGAAGAAAATGAAGAAAAAGGGAGACAGAGAGAGGATGATCGTAGGTTAGGACCTCGAGGACAAGGGAGTATAGAGAAAGAAGAGTCATAGTAGAAGGAGGTTCAATGAACCTTTGCTTTCAGCCTCTATATTTGCTACTACTCCTTACTAGGATATATACTGAAACATGTTCACTTCACTGCATAAAAGGCCAAGACGTGGTGACAGGTGGAAGCAATTTTCTTCCAATGTGACGACACATTTCTACGCTCTCCCAACATTTTTATGTCATTTAAGTTGGACAATTTAAGGCTCTTTTATTTTAATAAAAAACATTTAATTAAACTCCAAACACTAGACAACATAAATAATAGGAATGGGTTGAAGGATAAATTGACCAAGAGACCCACGTGGTCATGACATTTGCTATTTTGGATCGTGTCACCACGTGGGGTATAGTCTTGTTGATGAACAAACTAAAAGTAAAACAAAGTATTATTATTCTGATCCACGACCTCACACTGAAAATTCTATTTATTTGACAACTTTGGGGAGGTCTCGAGGCAACTTTTAAACATCTCTAAACTTTCCATCGACATGATAGTATAAATAAAAAATGATAATCCCCTCAGTCTATGATGCAGCAGGCCATTAATAAACACAAGAGGGGAAATGAACTAGATAAGAAAGCTTGCTAAATAAAAAATAAATAATAAAGTATAGGAAGTTGAATTATTTCTATCCAAAATAGCATAGATAATTCTAGATCTCCGCATGGCCCTTTTGAAAAGAAAAAAAAACACTAGAGATATTAGCTCTTATGAGCAGGAAGAATGATAAATCAAGTAAGGATTTTAATAATACCATACGCCACACCTCTTGGGATATAAATAAAAGGAGTATTTACCGTTAGAATTTATCTAACATCATCCCTATCTTTTCGTTATCATTACCAGGCTATTGGAAGTGTTTAGCATTTGTCTATTTAATTTTATGAAAAACGTTAATATCGTTAATCGTCAAAGAAAAAGCGGAAAATGAAGTATTAATAATCACTCATCATGAACGTTTTGCGAGTTAATTTAGTGACGAGGGCAAATGTTAAGAGTAGGTCGTTAAAGACGATGGTAAGAGGCGTACCATCAAGTTTAAGAAAACGATGGACTAGACATAATAATTATACTGAGAAAGGAGAAGATAGAATCTGTCGTTAGCAATGTTGTTAGACGTGCTAGATCTAACGGGAAGAATCCGGTAGTCGAAGGCGCGATTAACATTTCCTTACACCCAGCTGATTGATAGACATTTGAGTAGGAGACATAAACTCTTGTGCTAAAGTTTTTTGTTCTATTTGTATGTTCCACTTGATTGAGACAGTTCACGCCTTGGCCAGGTGCTTTTCTCTTCATTTAAAAATAATGTACCATGTAATTATACGCCTCGCTAATTGACTTTGATATTTTTTTAATTGACAGTTAAGCAAATCTATTCGTACAATTTATAGCTCATTCAACTTATCCTTTGGTTTGAATTGGAATTAGACAATTGACAAATCGATGAGTCGTTGTCTATTGTGTGTACATTTAATTTTAGTGGGTGCCACATGACGATTCATCACTTGGGACTTTCAAACATGAAGGCGACCAATGCACTTGGTTGACAATGGCTTGTGGGTGTCCCTTTGAATTGTCGACAACATCGAGATAAAAGTAGCTACGAAAAGTCATTTCGTAAGAATGAAAAATACTATCTAGACGATGACTAATGCTGCTTTTCTATCTACTATTTTCAGCATATAAATTGATAATTACAATAGTAATGAGTTTGTTGGATTCAACAGTAAAGTTTTTTTTTTTTTTTGAAGATTACATGCAGATAATTTTTTCAAGAATTGATGTGTTGGCTTGATGATAATCAAACGTTTGTTCAATTTTATAAGTTTCGTTAAAAGTCAATTTTATTTTGATGAACATTATATAATAAAGAATTAAAAAAATTCGTGATTTCGAAATTTATTTTGGTAAAAAATATTCAGCATATCTGTACGAAGATTACACTGCTGTAATTTTTATTGAATATCCTGCAAAAGTTAATAATTAAAGAGATAATGAGGTGATAAGTTTAGAAGACATTTATAAAGAAGTCGTAAGCTGATAATGGAATTAAAAAAAAAAATTTTTTTATCTAAATGACGACTAATATCATTTCTCTTCATTTTTCGTGAAAACCGATAAGTCGATAATGAGCTGATTATTTTTAAAAAAATTAATTAACTCATAAACCCAACGGTCAAGTGTAAAATCTCACCAAAATTCCCAATCACTAGATTACTGATAAATAAAATTCACTCATTATAATTCTGTTAGATTAAAATTACAATTTTAATATAATAAAATAAGTAAAAAAAAATAATTTAATTATTTTTAAGAAGTATTAAGATAAATAAATAAATTTTTTTTTAATTAAAAAAAATGTACGTTGAATTTTTTTATGAGGCAGGACCACTTTGGTCGATGCTGCAGATCTGAAAGATCATCGTAGTCCTTCTTGTTTTGTAAGTTTACACTACAGGACACGCGCGTCCTCCTACACATGAATAAGAGAGGGAAAATAAGAAGCACACAAGAGAAACTTATATGTCGAAGATGCGTGGGTTGAAGACCACAGCGAGTAAACATAACCACGCGAAAACCTTGAGGACTGCTTGTTTCGGCGTCAAGTCGCCGTTACCAAGATATTCTTGATGATCAACAAGATGCTTGTTGCACATTTCGCTTGTTTCTTTTCACAAATAGTAAAACAAAAACAAACTACAACAGCCTCAACACAACCTAGATAATTATGTCATTATCAAGAATGAAGAACAAAAAAAGGAGGTATGGTATTTTTTTACAGTTAATTTATGGAAATTGATGAGCTGTATAAAGTGAACTGCTATCTTGGTGAAGTAGACATATTGATCGCTTTGAAACGGAAGAAGATCTCACGTTCATGATGGAAAGAATGGGTCTAATCAGATATTCGCATAAGAGAAGACCAACTGAAGAACATTTGCTGTCGACAGGAAGTGTCACAAATGCACAGGAAGGGGATGGGATACGTGACAAGAAAAAAAATTATAGTCCACACCAAGTAAAATGCTAATCAGATGATCCCATTCACGAGCTAACCCGCTATCATTTTTTTTTCTAACATCAGAGAAAAAGGATAATGAAATGAAGAAGAAATATATATATAGGAATGAATTATGCAGTGATTTTTTTTCTTGAAAAAATAAGATTGACAAAAGCTGAATGAATTCAGTGAATTTGTTATTGTTATAATGAATAAAATGGTCATTATTAAATTGTACTTGAATTAATTTTTTAAATTTCGTGGTTGTAATGTTGTTAAATTGTTGCAAGTTTTATTGATATGTTTTTTTTTAAATTAAAGGTGAGGCTTGATTAGACGAAAGACATT